CACATTGCTTCTGCTGTGGACAGCCTCAGGTCCCAGCTCCCGCTTTCTCCCATCTCCCCCACAGAAGTCTCTCCCCCTTGCCTGCTTCCTTCCCTACTTTTGCTCCATGCCAGCAGACTCCATCCGTGCTGCAACCCAGAGCACGGACCATAGCTCCAGCCTGGCTCTGCAGCTGTGGTGTGGAGTGGGCCCTGCTGCTTTGGGGCCAGGCTGGAGAAGCAGTGCAGGCTCTGTGCCACTTGTAAAACTTTGATTTTAGTTTATCTTTTATAATGTGACATTAAAAAAATAGTGTAGTTTAATTAACACTCTTCTGTTATCCTGACTTTATGGTAGCTAAAAATGAAGTGGTATATATTTCCTTGAACTCATTTGAACCTCCATTCATGCTCATTTGAACCTCTAGCATGCATTTTCCCTCCATTGTGCCTCCATACTAAAATGTTTGAGACATACCATCACACATTTTTGTGGCATAGTGAGATATAAATATGAAATCTGGTTATTTGAATTTAGTGTGCTATAATACAAAATTGTGTCCACTTTGTATTTCAGGTCATAATTTTTGTGCAGAAGGACACAGGTGTGGTGAAAATTCAGAGTGCAAAAACTGGAACACAAAAGCTACTTGTGAATGCAAGAGTGGTTATGTCTCTATCCAGGGGGACTCAGCATATTGTGAAGGTAAACAAGATATTCAGTGAATATCTTCTTGGCAGTCCACTGAGAAATGTACTGTTAAGGAAATGGCTTAAAAATGAATTACATCATTAGATTCTTTTTTATGATAGTTGTCTCTTTCAGTGTTATATTTGCAAACATGCCTACAAACAAGGTAGTTGGGAAGTCAGTGGGACTATTCAGATGCCTGACTGTCCATTGGCAGCTGTAGTGCCAAGCTCTGATCTCCTTAATAGCAGCTTTTTTTGCTGTTGGGAATGTATTGAGGATGGATACATTTTCCCACTGATGGAGGTAGTAACTTTGGTAGTGATGCTATTTAGCATCACCTGCAAAGAAATTTACAACACCTTTACTGACGGGGTATATTGCAGTTGTACCTAGAAACATTAACCTGCAGTACTTTCTTTGGGTAAGATAATTTTTGGGAATGGTCTTACTATTGTATAGAATAAACATGTTTCCCAGGAGGCACTTTTTTATGCTGTTGAGATACTTTCTGTTGCTAATGATGTATTATTCCACCTCGGGAAAGAATGCAGCATGGCATTACTCTCGTTCTTTTCTCTTTGGTGGAGTTCTATTTCCTACAGCCTGCTTGTATGTTTTTGATGGGAGCAATTTAGTAGCTACTACTTGCTGTATATTCTTTAATGTGATGTGTGTGATGTGATGTGTAACTTGACATAAACGGCATTCCTTTAGTTTTGTATTTTTTTTAAATATAAAGACTTTGTATGCTGGGGGAGTACTGTTTGTGATTTTAACCATCCTGCATCTTTTTCTATACTATCTTTAGAAATATTTCCCAGTTTTCTTCTTTTGTCAGTGCTGGTGATGGAAAAGAAATGACATTTTTGACAAACTGCTGAATTATATGGTAGGAATGGGAGACGAGTGAAGAATATGAAACAGAGACATTTACATTGGTATCATTTGCAATTAAAATGAAAATATATGTCGAGAAGATTTTTAAAATCATATATAAATGACCAAGACTCCTCTAGACATGATGGATAAAGGCATTCTTCAAATTAAAACAAGAATGATAAATCGTACAGAACTGTCAGTTCATGTTTTAGAAGCAGAACAGTCTCTCTTCTAAAAAAAAAAAGAAAAAAAAAAATTAAAACATGATTTTAGAGTCTACAAAATAATTTCAAAGATTTACTTCACAGGGTAATGGCAGAGATTCAGTATTTTAAGAGGTTGTAGAGATAGTGGAAGGAACTTCTATATAGATGCTACAAGAGCTACTTACAAATCAATTCAAATCTAAAAAGATTCTTTATTAGCTCCAATATAGCACCCAGTGTGGGTTCTCTCTCCTCTTCTAGCTATCCTAAATAAAACCAAAACATATTTTCATCCTGAAAACTCCTTTAATCAGATTTCAGTGAATTTTGTTGCATCTTGTATAGTTCTTTTTTCTGTATGATAACAGGTTAAACATATTGACTCAAAATATGGTAGTATTTGAGATTCTTTCTATAAATTAGCAGTGCTGGAGGGGGGAAACTCTCTGAACAAAGTAACTATTCCTGGTTTAAGAGTATTTAGCTGACTTTACAGAACATATCAAATCTTTGTCTTATATGGATCTGTGTGGAACCAAAGGGAGGAAATCAAGCATGATTCTGTTGCTTGATGTCAGGAAGAGAAAAAGTGGGTTTTGAACAATAGTGTGCCAAAAAGAACTGTTGATATTTAGCTTTGTGAAATGCTTGTGATTTGGGATGGTATGGGGAAGAGAAGGTACTGTGGCTGAGTGATCTATAGCTTGTCAAATCCATTAGTGACATCTCTTGTTCATGGTGATAAGGAATACTTAGTCCTACTACACCCCCCTGAAATAAAAGAGCCCTACACAAAGCCTGATCATCTTGTATATGATCAGGTTCTATCTTATCTAATTGCTCTCATCTTTCTGCTTTATCTATCGAATAACACTCAATTCATAGTCAGTTGACTAAATTTTGCTCTCAGGTGCATACACAGATGCCACTGAAATCAATGGTGGCCATACATGCGCACCCAAGGAGAGAATTTGGCTTAGTATCTGGACCCAGTATCAGATTTCCTACAGATTTGTATTCATATGTGAAGTATATCAGGTTCATATTAAATGCGATAGTCGTCTTAATAGAATGAGACGCAACCTGTAGAAGCAAGGAAATCGTTGTATGAGTTTCTGACAGTGTTCTGAATTCAATTCTTTTGTTCTTAAGGATAGAAACATAAATGGCATATACAATAAGTTCTTCTGAGACACTGCAGTTAAAATATCTCATATTCTGACATATTTAGTAAGTGGCACCTTAACTGAGAACATTGTGGATCATTAACTTTCAGGTTTCAAATACCCTCCAAGAGCATTTGATTTTTTTTTTTTTTTTTATATTTTTTAATGCATGGTATTGTTTTTCATTATCCATATTGTACTGTCATTTATGCTGACTTACACTGATGTCATTTTGCCTTTCTTCATCCCATTGTCTTGCACCCCTTACCTGTTTCAGCATTGTTTCGACATCGTAGCATCTCCTAGAAAAACTTGCATTGACTCGTCTATTTTTGTTTTTTTATGTATTTTTGTTACTTTTAACATTATATCTTTACATTTTCATTGTTACAGGAAAAGTTTGCTATGGTGCTAAGATATATTAAAAAAAATCACCAAATCAAAAAAAAAAAGGAAGAAAGAAAATCAGAAGAGTATTTGCTGTTCATTGCTAACAGCTGTTTTTTCCCTCCCCCGGTGGTCTTAATCTCTGTTCAAACATGAATTTGGAAAAATGAATATAATTAATATAAAGGTGATTTTAGTTAAAATAGTTTTAAAAACCACCCAGAATGATTAAAGAATGTCATTGGCGATCCTTCATATTTTCTTAAAGCTGAAAAAAACTCTAAGCTTTTACTCCCTAAAAACAATAGTTGCTTCTCTGGCCCTTATGTACTTTGTGCCATTTAGAGTATTTGTTCTGAGAGTTCAGTGGAAGAATTAAATGTGTAATCTTTATTCTGTGAAGATTTTCATTACCCTGTGACAATTAATATCATCTTTACTTTGTATATATGAGGCTACTGAAACAAGCTAATGACTCTTGTAGAACCAGACATCTCTTCACTTTTCAAGAGCAAATGGGAAAGTTTGTATGTACACAAGAATGTAAGTGATTGGAAACTGGTTCAAATCTGTAACGCAACAGCGGTGCACATAAACCACTTTCAAAATGACTGAAACTGGTTTAAGATAAACCTGGATGGATGTAATATCAGACTTAACTGATTTAGGTTAAATTGGTTTATTGAACTTCTGTCCCAGTTCCCCTCCAGATTCAAGTTAACTCAGTAGCCCAGCATCCCAGGATGCTTTACACGTCTTCTCCACACCCCCATTCATAGGGTGTGGGGGCAGCTTTGGCCCAAACTGTCTGCTCCACCCCAGCAGTGAGGTGTGCTCTAATGTCCCCCAGCTTCTGGCCGTGGCCAGTGCATGCATATGGCTGCATTACTGGAGTCAAAAGTGAATATCTGTTCATTTGCTTATCAGTTCAATCTGTGCAGCTTAGACTAACCTTCAAAGATTGAATTGATTCAGTCTTAGGCTTTCTGACTGTCTTTCTGTAGCCAAAGGGGCTGAGTGTTGCCATGCCTAACTTTTAGGTACCTGATTCTGAGAGTAGAGTTCACAAACTTAGGAGTTTAAATTCCATGTATAGTGAATGAGCAGAGTGAGGGATGGGATTGACAACATCTAGGACCTGAGCAATGGGGCAGCAGTGAGGCCATGGAAAACACTGAAGAAGAGTGAGAGAGAGAGCCCACTTCTTCTCCAGATTTAGTTGCCTCCCTGCACCTCTGAGTTAGGTGTCTATTTGAGATTGTGTTTCATAACTCAAAACTGTGACCTGGACTTAGACACCTAAATCATTCCTTTGTATACGGGCAAATGTAACCATTAATTTTTTAAAGAGGTGCCTAAGTCCAGAAGGTGATGGTGATGACAAGATAGCTGTCTTTTGTATAATATTGTACTTGTTAAAATACTTGCTCAGGAAATAGGAGTCTTAGGCCTCTGGTAGACATTTATTTAAAGGCATGATGGGATTTGATACACGATTCCAACAATCCCTCATGCCATGCTGCATGTGTAGGGGGAACTCAGGATCATGATTGGCTTGTTGTCAGCTCAGTTTGGGGACCACATAGGGGTCTGGAACCAGCCCTGGTGCAGTCTGGTGCCGAGCTGGCCAGAGCTGCTGAGCATGGGGTTTAAAGTCCCCTGTGGAGGACGCTGAAGGCTCCATCCACTGGTAGCCTCTGTTTCCCTGTGCTGTCAGCTCAGCCAGAGCTGCCCAGCACATGGTTTAAAGTTCTGGCTGGGGTGAGCAGAGGCTTTCCCCCACTGGGGACTTTAATCCCCAAGCTGAACAATTCTGGCTGGACAGCACAGTACTGGGAGTCTGTCTCCTCCATCATGAGGCTCTGCTCCCCTTTCTGGGCTATCCAGCCAGAGCTGCTCAATATGGAGCTTAAAGTCC